TTCTAGAAGAAAGCTTTTTTTATGAATCGAACTGAGCTAATAATAAATGCTGATTGTTTAACTAAACAGATCGTTGGGGCCTTATGGTACCTACTGGCAATAGAACGTAAGGACACGTGCTGGGATATAGCGTGCCGGGAAGCTCCGGACTGTAACACGATAAATCTGTATTGCGCCCACGAGGTCTCGAACCTTGACATGTGGAGAAACATCAGCAGCACTTTTATTGAGCCAAAATGTTCGATAGATGATGACGATAAGTCACAATTTAAGTATGGAATATATGCTCAGGCTCTATCCTCCGGCATTCTTGACTCCGAGCATTTCGTGTCAAAGTACTTCTATTGCCTGTGGTGGGGCCTCCAGAACTTAAGGTACTCCTCTTGTTGAACTATGTTATTTCTGTCAGGAAATATACTTGAGAAATACAAGTGATAGGAATACAATAAATTCAATGAAAAAAGTGTTTTTAACTTAATGAATTGCAGTACACTTGGTCAGGGGCTAATAACCAGCACATATCCTGGAGAGGTTCTATTTTCTATAACAGTAGCCATTTTGGGACTCCTTCTCTTTGCTCTTCTCATCGGTAATATGCAGGTATGTATTCTATAATCTATCTTAATGAACTTCTTTGAAAACGTACACACGTTTTATATCCAAGTATATTTCCGTTTTTGGTACAGACGTATCTTCAGTCTCTGACGGTTCGGTTGGAGGAGATGAGAGTTAAAAAACGTGACTCCGAGCAATGGATGCATCACAGGGTACTACCGGCAGAGCTCAGGGAAAGAGTAAGGCGTTACGACCAATACAAATGGCTGGAGACGAGAGGAGTGGATGAGGAGAGCTTAGTTCAAAACCTGCCCAAAGACCTTAGAAGAGATATCAAGCGTCATCTGTGTTTAAATTTGGTCAGAAGGGTACGCACACTTTTTACTTTCGTAGCTGTCGGGCTCTGCCCGCCATCTCTGTACAAAAAAAGAAAAAGGGTACGCACACTTTTTTAATCCATCAACATAAGGGTACGCACACTTTTTTAATCCATCAACATTCATAATAATAATAAAAAAAAGGAGGAAATTGTAAATTTGGTCCCGTTAGATTGGGACGGTCGCAATTTCAGTCCTTAACTAATTTTTGTTGCGTAATTGGTCCTAAATCTAACTGACCGTTAAGTCAATGTTAACTCTCACGACTAAATTTGCAACTGTGGGACTAAATTTGCAATTTTCTCATATTTGATATATATAAAATAACTTTTAATTTTTATTTTTATTTTTATAATTTTATTCACCGCTAGAGTTATATTTTCATTCTTTATCAACCACTATAATCATAATAAAATAAAATGATGATTTTCTAAATATATTTATTATTTAATTAAAAATATTTGAAATATAGAAAATATTGTATTGCAATTAAAATTTTTAATATATTAATAATAATATAAATTTAAATTTATTTGAATTTATATATATCAAATATATTTAAGTTTATATTTTTTTATATTAAAAAATATATAAATATTTTTGTTATATATCACATATGGATTTATGTTTATATTTGTGTTATATTAAAAAAATATATAAATACGAATTTAAAAAATGTATCAAGTAATAATATTTTTGTTATATATCAAATATGAATTTAGAATATATATATATATATATATACACACAATTGACCAGTCCGATCAACCAATTCTGACTGGTTCATTGGAAACCAGTTAGTTCAAAGGAATCCAACCATTTGACCGATTCTAAAAATTAAAAATAATAGTAGTTGATTTTATTTTTATTTTTATTTATGTTTTAAATTTTTATTAACCTCTAAAGTTATATTTATATTTTTTATCAACAAATATAATTATAATAATATTAAATATTTATTTTGTAAATATATTTATTATTTAATTAAAAATATTTTAAATAAAGAAAACATAATAATATAAATTCAAATATATTGAATTTATATATATCAAATATATTTAAACTTATATTTTTGTTATATTAAAAAATATAAATATTTATTAATTTATTTAAAAAATATATATATTATTGACGAGTCCATTCAACTAATTCTAATCGGTTCATTGGAAATCAATCCGTTTAAAGGAATCAAACCGTTTAGTTGACGGATTCTCGGTTCAACAACAAGTTTGGCCGAGCTTTCAAACCAATAGTAGTTGGTATTACTTTTATTTTTATTTTTATTTTTAAATTTTATTAACCTCTAGATTTCTATATTTCTAATAAATTAAATAATTAATATTTTTTAAATACATTTATTATTTAATAAAAATTAATTTTAAATATAGAAAACATTGTATAGTAATTATTTTTTTTTTGTCTCAAAACTAAATTTTTACTATCAAATATTGTTATATACTCACGGAATAAAAATTGCAACAAAAATTAGCAATAAAATTATTTTTCAATATTTGGGACTAAATTTGCAATAAAACCAATCTTATGGGATTATATTTGCAATTTTCTCCCTTTTCAAACTAATGACAAACGGTGACTTAACGGTCAGTTAAATTTGGGACCAATTACGCAACAAAAATTAGTTAAGGACTGAAATTGCGCCTCTTGAGACTAAAATTGCGACCGTCCCAATCTAACGGGACCAAATTTGCAATTTCCTCTAAAAAAAGGCTAAATTGCATTTTTAGTCTACTCGTTTAATGGCATAAAAATTTTAGTCCCAAGATTCTAATATTTTGCTTTTTGGTCATGTGATTTAATATTTTGCTGCAATTAAAGGACTGATATTGCAACAAATTTTCAAATTTCTAGATTTTTTATTAGCAATTTAAGTCCTATAATTAAAAATTTTGTTGCAATTCCAGTCCTGTTGTTTAAAATTTTGCTGCAGTTTCAGTCCTTAGCAGAAAGTTAAATTTATAGGACCAAAAGGCAAAAAAAAGAAAGTTAGAACATCGGGACTAAAATTGTTATAGCGCTAAACTAACAAGACTAAAAATACATTTTTTGCCTAAAAAAAATATTATATCAAAATGAAATTACTTATAGATGAGGTTTTATTTAGGTGCCACTTTTCGGCAACATGGACGACAGGCTGCTGGACGCGATCTGCGAGCGGCTGAAGCCCAGCCTGTACACGGAAAACACATACATCCTTCGAGAGGGTGATCCAGTCGACGAGATGCAATTCATAATCCGCGGGCGTCTGGAGAGCGTGACCACGGACGGCGGCCGGTCGGGCTTCTTCAACCGCGGGATTCTCAAGGAAGGGGACTTCTGTGGGGAGGAGCTCCTCACGTGGGCCCTCGACCCCAAGGCCGCCTCCAATCTCCCTCCCTCCACCCGCACAGTCAAGGCCCTGACAGAGGTGGAGGCCTTTGCTCTGATAGCGGACGAGCTCAAGTTCATCACCAGCCAGTTCAGGCGGATCCACAGCCGCCAGGTGCAGCAGACCTTCCGCTTCTACTCGCAGCAGTGGCGCACGTGGGCGGCCACCTTCATCCAGGCAGCCTGGCGCCGCTACTCCAGGCGCAAGCTGGCTGAGGAGCTCCACAACGAGGAGAATAATAATAATACACCTTTCGTGCATGAAGACGAGCGCGCGGCTTTGATCCCGTCTTCATCGATGGGGGCCACTGTGCTGGCGTCGAGGTTCGCTGCGAACGCGATGCGTGGGGTCCACAAGTCACGGGATGAGTCGGGGGGGATGGTCGTGATGCAAAAACCGCCCGAGCCCGATTTTGGCTAGTTGAGTACTGGAAAGTTGGAAACTATATATATGTGTGTCTGCATGCTTTGATTAGTGTAGTTTATGATCAAGCAAAATACTTGGTAAGAGATTATATATATATGTATATTAGTTCGGTTCATACCCAAGTCCATCGCTAAATTTACTCGACTCATCAAATATCTCATTGAAAAGCATTACGTGAATTGAACTTCTCAATACATGAGCTACAATCACAATGCTTGCCTCAAAATCTTTTTTTTTTTTTTTTTTTTTTTTTTTTTTTTTTTTTTTTTTTGTTTTATTAAACCAAAAACAAAAATGGTTAATCATTCTAATTAAAACTGATTTCAAATGCTACACACAATCACGCAACAACTACAAAGGAAAATCCAAATACACAAAAGATTTTGATTGGGGGAGGAGATTCCCCGGGTTGCCCGGGACAACCCCCATTGATCATCACTACATTGATCATCAATTTTCACGACCGTGAGCTTTGTTATAATCTTCTTCTTGGTGCCCCTATTCTCCCAAGCATCTTCTTGCCCTTCGCTGTAGATAGTGAACCCAAGGTAGGGTCAGGTATACTACAACAAACATGGGTTTTAACAACGTAGGGTCAATCATAAGTACGGTTGCCAACTTCACCTTCCGCTACTGGTTGATCTCCTTGTACTGGACTGTGATTTTTCAGCCCACTTAGGGCCTTTTATATATAGGTTGGGGGTCCGGCCTTAACCCCCACCCTTCTGGGTGTTGTTAAAAAAAAAAAAAAAAAAAAAAAAAAAAAAAAAAAAAAAAGCTCTCGCCACTCGAACTTCACGTCCTTTCCTCGTCAAACGAGACAAGGTAGAGCTATCTTCGAGAATTCCCCGGCGAATCTTCTGGACGCTGAATTTGGGCCATCGAGCTCCTTAGTCTTCTGCTGATGGTCTCTGGACTCCAAATCGATCATGGAAAACGTGTTAGCTCCTTGCAACTGGTCGAACAAAACCTCGATCCTCCGAAGTGGGTACTTATTCTCCACCGTGAGTCGGTTGAGCTCCGGTAATCGATGCACATCCTTGTCTAATCATACTTCTTCTTCACAAACCAAAACTGATGCACCTCATGACGATACTCTCGGTCAGATGAAACTACAACTTAGCTACTCCTGAATCTGGGTCTTAAGTTCTGGTAACTTTTTTGGCGCCACTTGATAAGGTGCTCTGGATACTAGTCCCACTCCTGGTACCAAGTCAATTGAGAACTCCACCACGCTTCCGCTGGACCTACAAGACATCTGAATACTCGCACCATTGGAACTTTTCAGGTGACGGCTCCTTCTTAGTACTCCAGGCGATAATTGCTACGAACTCTTGGCGATTTCCCTTTCTTAGGCTCTTCTTCATCGTCGAGATAGCTCGCAGAACGATCTTTTCTTTTATCACATAAAACTTGATCTGCTCGTCTTCTGACTAGTAAATGTCACCTCATACAGAAAAATAGGTTTGTCACGACCCAGCTTCAAGCCATGGTCTACCCTGACTTGTGGCTCTTATTTCAAGCCTCCACGGTACACCCGGACTTATGACTCTTATACAACGAAAATTCGTTACTACAATTGCTTGAAGACACTTTGCCAAAACGTAAAGCGAGACAACCTCTGGAGTTATAACTCAAACTAGAGTCAAACTTAACTCAAAACTTAAATAGAGTCAAACTTAGCTCAAAACTTATATAGAGTTCGAAACTTAGCTAGAGTTCGAAGGTCTATTCTCGGAGGGTAAGTCCTAAGCCCCAACATAAACTCATGAATGCTGATATGAGCATGTTGAAACTTTCCTGAAATAACTTATAATACTTACCTCGGAGTTGGCGTGGCACGAAGGTGGCGAGTGGTCAAACTTTCTATAATTTTTTAAAATTTTCTAACTTTGAAAATTTTCAAGTCTACATAACCGCTGACCGGCTTGGATACCAACTTGTAAAGCACATTCTACTTATCTTTAGAAAATTTCTAAATTTTCAAGAGTAATTTCAAACTTTTTCGAAAACATTTTAATTTTTAAACTTATTTAGGGAACTTACTTCTTCTTCTTTTAAACTAGTTGAAAAATTGCTTTCCTTTTTAATTAGAACTTAAGTCACTCACTTAAGTTCTTATGGGAACGCTGATTCCAACTGCTCTCTTAACTTCTTTACTGCTCAACTCATACTTAATCATGCAATAAAAACTTAAAGTTTCAAACATTCATAACAAGATCTCAAATCCCATGAAAACGTCTGAAAAACAGCAAGTCTTAAAAATCTTAACGGAAGTATGAAACTGAATATCATAAAATGACCATCCTCACCAATCGTGTGCGGCACCAACTCGATCAACCCCAAAGAAAAATAAGGGGTGAGCAAAACAACTAGCTCAGTGAGGTAACATAGAATAAATCGTCCTAATTTGGTATGCTATAATGACATTTTAAATTTTCATCGTTGAGAAATATTCTATTTATGACAGCATATATTGTTGTCACTAAATTATATGTTTTATGATAAATATTTTTTACAACGATGAATATTTCATCATAATTTCATTTGTTAGTGACAAAATTTATTGGTGTTACTAAAAATTATTTTATTAATGACACTCTTAATTTTTATCACAAATGTATTAAAAATTATTAATGGCTTATCTTCAATCTATTTCTCATAAAAATTTGGCCCGTTTAAACATTCGTTTTTCGTCGTCCTTTCATAAAATTACTTTCTTGACAATATTTGACAATTTTTCTATCAAAACAAAAAGGAAATAATATTCGTCATAGTTTAGTAAATTCAATCAAAAGAGCAAAGCTATATGGAAAATTACGATGCAATGAATATAAAAATCACTTCAAAATGCATGTGAAAATAATATATGCCATTTAATAAAAAGCGTATTAAGATTTCAATGTGGGATAAGTTTGGTTGACCTTTCCAATCCTACCATCAACATTAAAATGACAATTATATGACGTTGATAATCAATTTTGAGAAAAAAAAAAAAAAAATAACACGAATATCTACTTGATTTTTTTCAAAAAAACAGATATCCAATTGATTGGGCCTTTAGAGACAATCAAATAGAAAGCCAGGAGCACCATTTTCTAGAAGTCCCAATTAATTTAATCCAGATTAAATATTTGGCCATAAAAATATATATAAATGAGGTGAAATGAAACCCATTTTTACTAACTGATTTTTTGGTGTAAAAAGTTGTGCGCGCTAAATTACATCAACGGAAAGGGTATTTTCCTATCTATTAATATATAAAGAGGGAATGATAGTTTTTTGAAAAAATCAAGTAGAAAATCAGCAAAAAAAAGATTTCAATTCCCGCCTAAATAAATACTATAATGAAGAATTTTTTTGGCAAAAATTTGAATCTGCCCGCCTTCAACCAATTCAAACGCTTTTGATATTTTAGTTATTGATTTCAAGCCTTATCTATTTATCCAATATGATTTTTACAAGATTTGGTTAGATTTTTTTGTCAAATATTTGTATTTATCTTAATTAAATCATTCCAAAATCAATCCTAACTAAAATCACGTGTGTTATAGAATCCTATCTATATAAATACATTTGTTTATCATCTCCTCCAAACATTCACGATCAAAATTCATACACAGACAGAGAAAAAAAAATGGTCAAATCCCAAGTCGTTCGAGTTGGAATTCCAGTCGGTGTGGGGTGGGTCGGGCGATCCGGGTTTTGTCTCCGGCAGGTCGTAACAGTTGTCTCTCACGCGTGGGGTCGGTTGGTCTTCGCCGGAACACGACGAGACGTGGAAGGAGAAACTTCGGAAATGTCGGGCCGCGGGCCTAAGTGGGTTTTGATGGTCTCGGGTTCGCCGGGCGGTTTTGTCGTTGATCAACAGGGACCAAGTCTTGGCCTCGACCATCCCCATCTCGAATTCTTCTTTGGGCGTTTTTTTCCTCTCGCTGCCGCCGCCGGCGTCGGATTGTCTGTCTCCGGCGGGGATTTGGATCGGCGGAGGATGGTCGTAGCGGGGTTTATTGTATGGATCTCGGGGATCGAGATTGAGGGAGCCCAGAGTGGATGACGACAGGGCAACGACGTGGTGGTGGTGGTGGTGGTTCACCTGGACGGAGTAGCTCCGCCGCACCGGAGGATAAGGACCTGGCAGTTATGGCAGACTTTTGGCTTCGACGTCGCGCAACCCATTATCGGAGGACGCCAATAATCCGACGAACAAATTAGTGGATTAAAATCCGAAAAGCCTCCCATCAAAAAACCCAATAAGCGAAAACAGAGGAATGTATCAAGAATCAATCTTGAAGCTCATATGAAGATTAAAATTCTAACATGGATTGAATAATTTTAGAGATTTTTTTTTAGAGATTTTTTTTTTAGATAAATGTTGATAAAATCGAAGGGGAATGAAGAGAACTATCATTTTTTGTGCCTTTTTGTGCATCTGCTGCTCAGATACAGAACAGATTTTACCAATAAAAATTCGATCTTTCTGCAAAATACCTACAAATTGAAAGGGATCAACGCGGAGATTCTTACAAACAGCAGAGGGATCTCAGAAAAAATAAAAAAAAACAAAAACAAAAAAAAAAACAGACAAAGAATCGATAATAATTAAGACTGGGCTGAATTATTGAAAATTGAAAAAGGGAAAAAAATGGGAAAAGAGGAAGACAATCTGGGGAGTCTTCCATCCTGAGCTGAGAGTTTAGCCCTTACTTTATCAGCCAAGCTTTGAAGATGTGTAGCTCTAAGACACCCTCTGAAGATAGGAACTCCAAGAGAAAAGCGAAAACCATAAGAGATTCAATTCCTCCTCACCCGAGGTACCTTCTTTCGGAGTTCACTTTCCGGGATTCACAGCTTTAGTTAAAGCCCGAATGCAAGAAAAGGAGACCCATTTTTGTGCAGCTGCTTTTTCTCTCCACTTTCTCTCTCTAGAAAAAAAGAGAGCGTGAAAAAGAGGAGGAGTGAAATGGCTTTGACACTGAATGTGTGTGTAATATTTGCAGTGAGTGGTCTACAACGAATGTGAGAAAAACAAAATATTTAAAATTGATAAAATAATTTATTTATAAACTTTGATTACGGTGCAGAATGTCTGTACTTTTTATATGGGCGGGGCAAGTCTGTAAAATAATGCAATTTTGTAATGTTTTGATTGAATAAGAAAACGTGAAGAATGAAAAGGAAAAGAATCGGGAAATGCGGGAGTTATTGCTTGAATGGCTCAAACTCTCTAAAATTGTAGGTGTTAGTGGACACGCACCAATAGTGTGAAGGCCAGCTATGAAGATTACGTCACTTTTCTTTAATTTTATAATGTATATGTTCATGTTTCTTTTTTCTTTTTAAAAAATAATTTATATCTATATATATATTAAAGTTTTGATTAGTTTTTAATAGTAACTATTTCTCTTCAGAAAATATTATTTACTATTTCAGAGAATGAATTTAACAATTATGGTATATTTTAAATGATCACTTATGGAAGTTGCGGCTCATTATTTAATGAAGTAATTAAGTCATATTTTAAGTTACCTGCTCAAATCATGTGAAATTAATATATTGTATATAGTGGACGAATTTATTTTTGGTATTGATGGTTGTTTCTATTAAAAATAAATTAATCAATATATGGTATAAAGTGACTATATTTTGTTTAGGTTATTTGACAACTGTTTTTTATAGGAAATTTGTTGAAAAATTAATAAATATACAGTTTACTTTTTTCTGTAATGCGCAGGCTACAATATTGGTTTTTAAGCGTGGATTTCAATTTTTAAAAAATAATATTTTAGACACTTTTACATACGTTATATAATAGTCTAGGCATTCTTAATATTTGTTGGGTTGCAATATTTTAGATATTTTTAAACATATCTTGATAATGGTTTTTACACATTCTCTATATTAAGGAGGTGTATCTATACATAAATAGGTTAATTTTTTTAGGTGACTTCACACATATTTTTTAAAATAATATATAATATTTTTTACATATGTACGATTTTAGGTATTTTTAATATCTATATCTATACATAAAAAAAGAGAATAAGATTTCAAAAAACATTTGTTACATACTAAATTTTAGATAGAAAATCACATTTTATTTGTTATATAATTTTTTTGATTGTCATCAATCTTGATTTGTAATTGCAAAATTGATAAATTACCCGTATGCTAAAAAAACATACCAAATTCTTTTTACGATAAATACTTCAAAAATTAATTTTTGAAATCTTTTATACTCAACTGCGCAAAAGTTACGGAAGTTAGGTCATAATTCATCCTAATGGTCGATATCATCTTAATATCTATTTTAGATATACTATGTATTCATCATTGCAATATTTATGTTATATATTCTAAGTAAATTTTCTCATCTCCTCCCAACAAATTTAGCATGAGGTAATATGTTACCTCATAATATTTTATATAGTTCTAAACAAGCAATTTTTACCCGTTCTATCTATATATACATTTACATATACATATGTTAAATTTAAATATTTTTAGACATGTTTTCTTTAAAAAATAATTTAAAAAATTTTAGGTGACTTCACATATTTTTAGATAGTTTTAGACATGTTTTCTTTACAAAGTACTTTAGAAAAATTTAGGTGATTTCACATCTTTCAATAATGATATAGAAAATTTTAGATACTTTTAAATACGATTATATAATATTTTAGGGTTTTTAATATTTTAAACATACATTTTCTTAAATTATTCTCTACAACGTAATTTTATATTGTTTACAACTGATATACGATAAATTATACCCCATATTCAAGAATGGAACCGATGATCCAAGTTACTTGAAAGATGGGGCTATACTCGCGCCAACACTCGAGATCGTAGAATCTATAAATGCATACATGTCGTTGTTGAATTTGACTGAAGGACGCATGTATTTAAGCTCACACAGTACGTGTAAATCTGACTCCAATACCGACTTTCTGGCACAACTCCATACCCCTGATTTCTTGAATACTATCAAGTGTTCTAGAACACCGAATCATGAGTTGAATTTAAAGGTCGAGACTCCAGTTATGTTGTTGCGGAACATGCATCACTCAATGGGACTCTGCAATAGTAGACGATTGGTTGTGACCAAACTCTCCAATCATGTGCTCGAGTGTACTGGCGATCATGCAGGTGATAAAGTTTTGATACCTCGAATGACCATAACTCCTTCGGATGTTAGAGTACTATTCAAATTCCAAAGAAGGCAGTTCCCCATTATGGTTTCGTATGCAATGACTATAAACAAGAGTCAAGGTCAATCCTTATCTCATGTTGGCTTATTCTTGAAGAAACCAGTTTTTAGTCATGGCCAGTTATATGTCGCTGTCTCCCGTGTTACTAATAGAAAGGGTCTGAAAATTTTAATTTGTGGAGAAGAAGGTTTGAAAGCAAATCAAACCAATAATGTTGTGTATAGAGAAGTGTTTAATAATATATGATTTTTTTTTTGTGTACTTTGTATTTCTCTCTCTTTTTTTTCTATTACAATCAAATTATTAATTTATAAATAAAAAAATTAAATAAAGTTTAGATAAAAAGGTTTGAGGAAATAATCCCACCGTACTGCACACGGGTACTACACTATATTTTCCAAAATAAATATACTCCGTGCATCGCACGGGTTACGTACTAGTTTTCTGAAGGTAGTATTATTATTTTCAGTGTGTAAATGTAGCCGATTTAAGTTTTTCTTGTTGAGTTGTCCTTCATTATCCCAATCCATGTAATCTTATTTTATTTTTGTTCTTCTTTTATTTTGATCTGATCCTTAACAATACTAATCATAAACAATAATCTGATCCTTATATTAACCATAAACAACATGTATAATCATAACCCAGCATTAATTACGAACTGGAACTTAATCCAAATTTAGTTTTATGGTGTTGTTGCTCTGTTATTGTCCTATCCTACCATTTTAAATACTTTTCTAAAGTGTTACACAACTAAACCAAACTTCACAAGTTACGGAACATTATGGTTAAGGTTGTCCACCGGTCACTGTTGACCCATTACATTTTTAATTTCTTCAATTCATTTCAAAGAACTGATCAATACATATGAAAATGCATTTCTTTGTTTCCATTCATTTTGCCTGAGAATGATTCCTTGTTTCTGTCGTGTATTTGGCATAGCTTTGCTGTCTCGGCCTCATGTCAGTAATACCCAGGTACCTCAAACCATCTTCTTATTTTATTCTCATTTCTCTTTGTATGAAACTATATATATGTTCAATTATTGGTTATTACGCACATCACATGAATTAAGTATAAGTATACATGACAAAGATCGATTATATATTTTGAGGTTGTGCTTTTTTATCATATAGAGAGATTATGGGGTTTATATGAACTAGATTATCCCTCAAAACTGGATATAGAGTAGTTTTGTGGCAGAAAGGCTGGTTTATAAAAGCATTTTAGTCAACAAATAATAATAATAATAATAATAATAATTGATTGGGTAAGCTATAGTTCATTTAAATGATAGTTGATTGGGTAACTAATTTGTTTGCTATTCCGGTGTGTGTCCAGTGACATATCCGGTTCTCGTGGCAATGGATAGTGTACTTGATCCTTGCTAAAATAGAAAAAATAAATAAAAAATAAAAAATAATAAAAAAATAATAATAATAAAATATTTTGTAGATCTAGAGTGAAGTAAATTGAGTTTTGGTTGATGAAGAAGAGCAGTTGTGGCTCTTGTCCCGGCGGCAAGAAGAAGAGGGACATTTCTTGAGCTCAGCCTGTTCTCATTTTCTTTTTTTTCTTATGTTTTATTTGCTTTTTGATTTCAAAATTGATAAGATTCATTTATCCTATCCTCTATCTATCTTTACTTATTTGATTTTTTTATTACAAAATCTTTATTTGATGATGTTGATAAATTTCAATATTTGGGGCTGAAAAGTCAACTGGTAAAATTGCTAAATAAGTAGTATTTATTTATTTTTTTCTCAAATTTTTACCATCATTATATCAGAAAGATTGATCGTGATTTTAAATATATTTATATTAAATAAAAATTAGAAATTATATTATTTAAGTTAGATAAATCAAAATAAAATAATATTTAATTAAAGGATGATTAGAAATTATATTATTATATCTACGTGAAGGAAACCAAAATACATGATCCAATTTATTAAAATACAATTGTGAGTATGTTTACCATAGCACTATTTTGTCTACAACTCTGGAAAATTAGTATGATGTGGTAATTTTTATATATCCTTCCAAGCTATAAAATAATACGAAGTAAAAAAAATAAATCCAGCCTAACTTTTTAGTATTTTCTATAAAAAGAATATTTAATAATTTTTTATTATTTATTAATTTAATTTTGACAATCCATATATTGAATAATTTATGTATTTATACAAATAAAATCTTCATAAAAAAATATGTAAATTTTAATCATAATAAAATAAAATTTGACGTTAAATTAAGTTAAAATCGACATTTGCTCCCACTTCTTTATAGCCTAACAAAGTTTTAATATATAATGTACAATTAATTTGCATCTCATTCGCCATGAATTAATTACTAAAATTGTGATGTACTTTTTCTGTTAAGTTACCTGATTAATATTCATAAACTGTAAAAAAAGAAATAGTTAAAACTATAATATTCAACAAAATATTCAAAACTTAAAAATGTAATTTGAAACAAAAAATTTAAAACTTGTGAAATAATTTTGTATAAGTTATATTTATCTCTTATAATTTAGGAAAGAATGGTAATATATTTTTTAACATTTACTACAAACTTTTACAAATGTTCCTAATAAAAATAATTTTAAATAAATTTTCTCACTCGCCTTTTTTAAGTAGATTCTTAACCTTTATATATATTGATTGTTTAAAGTCACATGAAATTTATCTATAATAAAGTATTTTAATACATCTTAGTTGACACGTTTAAAATTATCTAAAATATCATATGTTATTCTTGTATGGTATGTATTAAACTCTGTCTATATTAATCTTAAGTAACATCCAAGTTACAAATAAACAAAAAGTATAAATATGAATTTAAGAAGCATATAAAAATAATTTTAAATTATATAATAAGTGCGATAAATATTTTCTATCATACGCAGATTCTATAATAAATATTTTTTATCAATTTATACTTTAGTTGTACCTTTTCGTACATGTATTTATTTAGTTGCATCGCTCTACTACTCTATATGGTCATGTCATGTACTTAAAAATAGTGATTACTCTATATTTGTACCATGAATATAAGCTAATATTACAATATTCACTGTGAAAAATTAGCTCCTTCATTTCTTAACTCCTAATTAATTTATTTTCTACTATTATTTTATTTGTCTAATGAGAAAGGAGAAACATGACTTTTAAACATTATGATGATGTAAGAAATTAGTTATTGTAAATATTCAATTTCGGATATTGATGTAACTAGCTAATTTCACTTTTTTTTTTTAGATTTATTATGAAAAAATGAATACCAAAAAAATATTATTCTCGTACATTTTTAAACATAGTTTCATTTTTAAACAAATTAATTGATAAATATATATTTTCAAGAAAATAGAACATACCTCTGTTCTGCTCGCATGAGAGCGGGTAGTGTCCGTTTGGAATGGTCTCTATTCTCCTTTTGGGAGCTTTGTGGTAGTTTTTTAGTATTCGTCGTGTCGTGAGTTTTGTGTCTTGGTTTGCAGCGTTGCTAGTAGCGGCTCTAGGCAGTCTTCGGATTCGTCCTCCCAGTCTTATTCAGCTTTTGGTTGTCTTATTTCGCTAGGGGGCGCGCTATGCCTTTGCATATTTGTGCGTTTTCATCTATAAAATTCTCTATCATTTTGGCAAAAAAAAAATAGAACATATAAACTGTTCAAAAAAATGGACAAATTGTCACCTACAATTTTGAAAATAAAAGTGCACGATAAGAAGTAAAATATGTAGGACAATATTTAAGCATATAAATTCAAAAAAAAAAAAAGATAAAATTAATTTTAAATTTTAATTAAAAAAATCCTTTACTAATAAGTCCAACTATTTAAATAAAATGTCTACTTTTCATTTTTGAATTAAACATTGATCAACTTCAATAATATTTTGAATAGAATCCAAAATCATTCGTATAATATGGCCACAAGTATTTATTGGGGCAACTTGAAAGAGAGAGAGAGTGTGTGTTAGAATATACACTTGTCAGTTGTCCCACATCGTTTATACAAGGAAAATAGGCCTGACATATAAGGCTAGTGGGTGTTAGACAAAATGACCAATCCACACACTCATATTCCATGCAGCCCATAATGCACTCAATTCAGGCCCATGCAGCCCAACTCAATTTGGATTCAAAATCAGCACGTGAGAAAGAAATGGTGCATGAGAAGAGGACAAGAATAACGGGCAGAGACAGCTGTATTGTACCAGCTTCTATCTCAGCCATTGATGAGGAATGATCAGGATAGGTGTATGGTTAGGATACATGCTTAGTCATTTTTGTACTGTTTGGTTCTTATCCAAAAATGATGAGAGATGGCATTATATACTCGAGCAATGTAACAGTGGTTTACTCAATGAAAAAGATACCTGTTCTTGTTCACATTTTGCAGCATGAATTTCTATGATATTTTGTTCATTATGATCCCGATGCTTTTCTTTCATGGTATCAGAGCAGGTCACACCTGCTGCTGATACACCTATCCCTATCATTCCTTTTCTTTCTTTTCAATGTCAGATCTTGATACAGCCATGTCAGGCACAGGAGCACAAGCTCCTCATCTTAACTCATCTCTCCAAATCATCTACCCACAAAACCAACTCTTGACCACCAAACTCGATGAGAACAACTACCTTATATGGAAACAGCAAGCTCTCATCACCATTAGAGGATATGGTCTCGAGCAGTTCATTGTTGGAGGACAAGAGCCATCTCAGTTCATACAGCAGCAGGAAGTTCAAACACTCAACCCAGAATTCATCACCTATCAGAGGCAAGATCAAATTCTTGCTTCATGGCTGCTATCTTCTTTATCTGAGAGCCTTCTTGTTCAAATGGTTGGTCTTCAAACTTCTAAAGAGATTTGGCAAGCATTGTCCACAAATTTCACCAGTCAGTCTCTTGCAAAGCAAATGCAATTTAAGCTACAGCTTCAGACCATGAAGAAAGGGAACCAAACTATGAGAGACTTCCTCAACAAAATGAAGGGCTGTTTTGACATGTTGGCCTCGGTTGGAGCTAAGGTATCTGAAAAAGACCAGATCTTGCATATTATCTCTGCCTTAGGAAGTGAGTATGACCCTGTGATGATCACTGTCACCTCAAGAATTGATACATGGTCAGTTATGGATGTTCAAGCTCTCCTTTTGAGCTATGAGTCTAGATTAGAGGCAGCAACTACTCAGACCAATGTTGGAAATGTCAACCCACATGGATCTCAACCTTCTCTCAACATAGCCACCCAAGGAAATCAAAGAGCAAACTAGAACAACAATACAAATCAAGGAAGGGGAAGAGGTGGCTTCAGAGGGAGAGGAAGGTCTAGAGGATGTTTTAGAGGAGGAAGAGGAAGAGGAAGGAGTGTATGTCAAGTTTGCTGGGTTGCAGGTCACACAGTAGATAGATGCTGGTACAGATTTGATTCAAATTTTGTTCCTTCCACTCAACAGCAGCAGAACAACACATCTCCTCAAAGCCAAAGTGGTGGATATAACAACTTCAACAGAAACCCAGCACTTCATTTGGCTCAGTTACCACCTCCTTCACCTAGCATTGGCTTAGAAAACAACTTTGAAAGTGTTTGGAATCCGGACTCAGGAGCTACAAACCATATCTCCAATGACTTGAGCAATCTTTCCAACATTTCAGAATATCAAGGAACCAACAGGCTTCACATGGGAAATGGAGTTGGTGAGTCTATTATTCATTTTGGCACAGCTCAACTTACATCTCCTCATTCCTCTAGAATTTTCAAATTAAATAAGCTTCTTCATGTTCCTTCCATTACTAAGAACTTATTGAGTGTTTCTGAGTTTGCCATTGATAACAAGGTTTATTTTGAATTTCATCCTGACTTTTGTGTTGTTAAGGACCAGGTTACCCACCAAATACTCCTCAAGGGAACCCTTAAAGCTGGCCTTTATCAATTCAACCTCATCAGTCAAAGTAACACACAAGATCTCACTCAAGACTTTTCAACCTTAGAACACACTCAGCCTAGCTCTTCTAGTGTTTATACAGCTTCTGTAGTTTCTCATTCCAAGAAGTGTGACCTTGATTTGTGGCACAAAAGATTAGGACATTCTGCTTTTGATATTGTAATAAGAGCTTTGAATGATTGTAATGTTTCTTTTGAAAAGAATGCAATGAATGGTCCTTGTTCTTCTTGCTTGTTGGCTAAAGCACACAGGCTGCCTTATTCTCAATCTGAAACTATTTGTGATGAACCTCTTCAGCTTGTTCATTCTGATTTATGGGGTCCCTCACCTGTTAAATCCAGAAATGGATATCTTTACTATGTCACTTTTATTGACCATCACAGTCGATTTACTTGGCTTTATCTTCTCAAGCATAAATCTGACACATACAATGCTTTTCTTCACTTCAAGAAACTTGCTGAAAATCAACTTGGTAAAACCATTAAAGCTGTTCAAACAGATTGGGGGGGTGAGTTTAGGTCCTTAACCAAATTTTTCCTTGACAATGGCATACAACACAGACTTTCATGTCCTCACACTCCTCAGCAAAATGGAGTTGCTGAGAGAAAACATAGACATGTGGTAGAAATGGGCTTATCTTTGCTTGCTCAGTCTTCTTTACCTATGTCCTTTTGGGATGATGCATTTGTTACCTCTTGTTATCTCATAAACAGAGTTCCTACAAGACTTCTAGCCTATAAAACACCTTTAGAAACCCTTTATGGTCACAAACCAAACCTGCTCATGCTAAAGACCTTTGGCTGCTTGTGTTTTCCTCTTGTTAAACCCTATAATAAGCACAAGCTCGAATTCAGATCTTCTCATGGAACATTCATTGGCTATAGCCCTCATCATAAGGGTTATAAGGTTCTTCTGCCAAGTGGTAAAGTGATTATCACTAGGGACATCACCTTCAATGAGAACATTTTTCCTTACCAACAGAAACTCACATCACCCATCAAAGAAGTCTGTCCCACATATCTGAATTCTACTGCTGCACCTTGTGTTGTGGACTTTTCCCAATCTTATCATAATTCCACCACTCAACCTTCTAACAACAACAATGCTCCTCATACCCCTCAGTCTATCACTACACCAAATTCCAGATCCTCAATGTCCTCTTCCTCCAATTCTAGAAACTCTCATTCAAACACTACTATTCCTTTGTTTGTTGAGCTGCCTATAGTGGATAACAGATCTCATCAATCTTTTGAACATGTGAATAACACTGGTGCTGCTAATGAATCTGTTCATCCTATGATCACCAGGTCAAAGAGAGGGATCTACAAGCCAAAAGTTTATAATGCAGCAGTGTTACCCAGTGAACCTAAGTCCATTGATGAAGCTGTTAAAGACATTCACTGGAAAAATGCCATGGAAAGTGAATTTTCAGCCTTGATGCATAACAAAACTTGGGATTTGGTTCCTATACCCATAGGATGTAATATAGTGGGCAGTAGATGGGTGTTTAAACTGAAGAAAAATCCAGATAACACCATTAGCAAGTATAAAGCTCGGTTGGTTGCTCAAGGGTATTCTCAAACAGCAGGGTTTGATTTCAAGGAGACATTTAGCCCAGTGGTTAAACCAACCACCATAAGAGTGATTTTGAATCTTGCAGTGCAGCTTGGCTGGAGCACTAAGCAATTGGATGTAAGCAATGCATTTTTGCATGGAGATTTGGAGGAGGTTGTTTACATGAAACAGCCTCCAGGATTTGAAACTCTATCCAAAACTGGTCAACCTCTTGTGTGCAAGCTGAAAAAGGCAATATATGGTCTTAGGCAAGCTTCTAGAGCATGGTTTACAAAGATCAAAGGAGCTCTACAAGATCTTGGTTTCAAAAATTCAGTGGCAGATCCATCTTTGTTCTACAAAAATGAAGGACATGTGAAGATTTTTATGTTGATCTATGTTGATGATATCATCATTACTGGAAATGATGATAGGATGATTCAAGAAGTTATCCTTAGTTTGAAGAAAAATTTTCCTTTGAAAGATCTTGGCAGACTTCATCATATTCTAGGCATTGAAGCACACTACTCATCACAGGGAATGCATCTCTCTCAGCACAAGTATGTCTGTGATTTGCTGGTTAAAGCTAAAATGGAAAATGCTAAAGGCTGTCCTACCCCAATGGTCTCAACTTCTAAGCTTTCTAAACATCATGGAGACCCTATAGTGGACCAGACTCTTTATAGAAGTATTGTGGGAGCCTTACAATATTTAACTATCACAAGACCAGAAATCTCCTATGCAGTGAATAAGGTTAGCCAATTCATGTCCTGTCCCCTTGACATTCATTGGAAGTCTGTAAAAAGAATTTTGAGATATCTGCAAGCAACACAGTATTTTGGGCTGTACATTACAAAAAGCAAAAGTCTCAAGCTTATGGGATTCTCTGATGCTGACTGGGCATGTGACATAGATGATAGAAAGTCAATCACAGGATCTTGTGTCTTCCTCAGTGGAAATCTGATTTCATGGAGCTCAAAGAAACAGAATGCCATTTCAAGATCGAGCACAGAAGTTGAGTATAGAAGCTTAGCTCACACAGCTGCAGATATCAGTTGGATTCAGTCACTGTTGAGAGAGATAGGTATGATCATTGATAACATTCCTGTGATTTGGGTTGATAACTTAGGAGCTATAGCATTGGCTTCAAATCCTGTTCTTCATGCTCGGACAAAGCACATTGAGCTTGATATTCACTTTGTTAGAGACTTGATACAAAAAGGGAAGGTGACTGTTCAACATGTGCCCTCATGTGATCAACTTACTGATATCTTTACTAAACCCTTAAGTTTCCAATCCTTCACTCGGCTTCGAAGTTCCTTAGGAGTTTGTGATCTCACCTCGATTGGATTGAGGGGGGCTGTTAGACAAAATGACCAATCCACACACTCATATTCCATGCAGCCCATAATGCACTCAATTCAGGCCCATGCAGCCCAACTCAATTTGGATTCAAAATCAGCATGTGAGAAAGAAATGGTGCATGAGAAGAGGACAAGAATAACGGGCAGAGACAGCTGTATTGTACCAGCTTCTATCTCAGCCATTGATGAGGAATGATCAGGATAGGTGTATGGTTAGGATACATGCTTAGTCATTTTTGTACTGTTTGGTTCTTATCCAAAAATGATGAGAGATGGCATTATATACTCGAGCAATGTAACAGTGGTTTACTCAATGAAAAAGATACCTGTTCTTGTTCACATTTTGCAGCATGAATTTCTATGATATTTTGTTCATTATGATCCCGATGCTAGTGGGTTACTCCTTCTACCACCAATTGGTTTTAGAATGGAACCCCACTAAGGCCCATCTAAGCTCACCCTTCTTTGGTGCGCTTCACGTCCGTAGGACCGCACCCGTGAACCCCGTTTCTTCATAGAGGATCTAAAGCTGCCAAAATATACATAACAATGTCCCCCGAAATCATTGTAGCGGTGGACCAAGTTTTTCACCCTTTTTATAGTTTGTTACAGTTACAGATCCAATTCAACAATTCATGTATACATATATAAAACCTACCTTTTCATTTTCCCAAATATATTTACATGCAAATAACTTGATCACATTTCCTCACTATCTATTTAGTGTGTTGTGCTGCAGAAAAGCAAATCAAGAGATCATTATTATACGGTGAAAATACCCTTCATCCAGAGATCATTTCAATCTTTTCAATAAAAGGCATGCATATATGTCTTTCCATGCCGCATCAATCCATGCATATTTTTACAATATTGTTTTTTATTATTTAATTACATAATTTGGTTAAAGCTGATGAATTTGTTGTGCCACCTTTAAATTTTTCTTCTTTTTCCCTTGTGCATGCCGGTGAAGAACACGGATTCTTTTGTCCTTTTCCTCTTTTTTTTCTCCAATAAAAAAAAATAAATCTTGTTTTTTATATTCTATTCTTTTTCTCAGCCTAAAAAATAAGCTATTGCCTTTGGTGTGTTATGTTGCATGTTTACCTTTTTCTTCAACAGAAGATTAATGGAGGCACAGAGTTGTTCACAAGTGAGAAGACTTCATATTGTCTACTTCCTCAGTCGAAATGGCAAAATCGAACATCCGCATCTCGTCCGAGCTCATCATCTCTCTAAAAACGGTGTTCGGTTACGAGGTAATTATTATGCATTCGTCAATCTTTGCCATTATTATCAATGCAAATGCGTATCACATTCAGAAGTTTTGTCTTTAGTTTACCGTAATGCCAAATGTATATATGTGCATGTCACGAAAAACAATATGAAAAATGCGCATCTCTTACGCGTCGGATTATTATGAATAGACGTCAAGAGGTGGATTGGCGAGTTGAGAGGAATGAATATGCCGGAATTATTTTCTTGGTCATACAAGAGGTCCGTATTTAATTTTTAGCCATATACGTGTTTTTTAGCAAATGATTATGTAGATTTTAAGTACTGATATAATTCAAGATTAATTGAAGGTTGTAATTTTTTTTCCTGGCTTGTAGAAGATACAAGACGGGTTATGTGTGGCAGGATTTGGTGGATGATGATTTGATTAATCCTATCTCAGACAATGAATATGTTCTCAAAGGCTCAGAGATTTTATCCACCAAAATTAAAGGTAAAGTTATACAATTTACTAGTTGATTTTTTTTATTTTTTATTTTTTCAAAATGAATATAAATCAATTCTTACTAGTTCTTAAATTTTCTTCAACCCTACAAGGACATTTTTTTTATTATTTTTTTTTTAATTCTTCTTCTTACTCTTACATACAAGTTGCTACAGAACTTTTCTTAACAGATGAACAGTTAGCAAAGACCAAGGATCAATTTCTACAAGAGGACTCAAAAACCACTACTAGCAAAGAAGAACATCATCGAGGCCACAGCTCATCAAAGACCTCAACAAAATACTCATCCGAAATTGAGCAAGAATCTCCAAGTTTCAGCTCAGAATCATCCACAGTGACAGATGACTCAATAAAAGCAGATAAGATGGAGAAAACATTGTCCAAAAGTTCTACACATGAAAAGAAAGATGAAAAAAACCCATCAGCTGACGACAAAAAAAATCGTTCTTCATTGCCTTTCTACTCGACATTTTTTAGCAAGAAGAACAAGAAAAAGACCAACAATGTCAACACTGGTGATAAAATGCAGTTTTCAGATAATTCAATGATTTCACTATCAGAGCCTCAGCTATCGAAGAGCAAAAACACTTCAAATGTGTTTCGTAATTTGGTCTCTTGCGGTCCCTTGGAAACTAATGATTCAGCTGTTGTTGCAATAAATAAGCAGAATAATAATGATGGTAACAATAGGCCTACTTTCTTGAACATGAGTTCGAATGATTTGAGAAACGTGGTCTGTGGCTCGGCAAAGACATGCAAAGAGGGTCCTCAGGGGGAGCTTGGAGGGTCTCAAAGGATACTCAGAACTCCTAAATGGACTCAACAGCAATTATTATCTTGTGGAAGGTTGTATTAATTAATTCATTTTAACAATGCNAAAAAAAAAAAAAACCAACTCGCTGCATTTTATTTGCTTTCACATAGAATACTTTCAATATTTATAATGTCAAGCGACTACATAAATCTTTCTTGATTTTTAACAATTGTTAGACATATAGTTTACCGATCTCACATCCATCTATTACAAGATGATCATATAGACATATCCTTCACACAAACACAACCACAACCACAGATAGATAGATAGATAGATAGATAGATAGATAGATAGATAGAGAGAGAGAGAGTGGGGGAGAGAGAGAGAAGAATCAATCAACATTTTCACTAGTTTATGTTTCGATTTATGCGTAAGCCCACAATTGTGGTGCAAACTATACCACTGACCCATCTTCACCAATGTTTCGATTACTGCTTTTTTATTTCTTTTCATGTATAAATTTGTTATTTTGTAGACTGATTGTGTTTTCGCCACAATTGAGATTTTGATCTATTTACAGAGTGGTGAATATCTGAAAAAACATAATATTTTTAAATGTTTAAACTAATTTATAAATAATTAATAAATTTTCATTTTATTTAAATGTATATTTAAAACTTGTACCAATTCTACGCCTGACTGGTGCCTCAACCCTGTACTTCCACGACATTTTAGTTTACTAAAAAAAGAAATAATAACAAGTAAAAGAAGAAGAAAAACAAGTAATAGAAACCGAAATTCCACGACATTTTAATTAACAAAAAGAAAATAAAAAACAAATAAAAGAAGGACTAGGCTACAGTCCCGTTATGAAACCATTTCGTTGGGATTTGTAACCGTAATAATTAGATGCATATGTAAATTAGCGTAGCATGTGCATCCGACGGCTAAATATCTCAACTGAATGATTCCGTAACGGGACTGTACTCTTACCCCTTCTTTTATATTTGGTTCAACGGAGGGAAAAGGAGGGGAAGGATTTCAATGGAAGAGATGTAAGGGAAGGGGAAATGATGTAAAATAATTTTACCTTGTTTGGAAGGATTTTGTAAGGGAGGAGTTGAAGGAAAATAGTAAACCTTGTTTGGTTAAAAAGTGGAAAGAAGGAAAAATAATGTTGAATTTACTATTTGCCCTTAATAATATAAGAGATAAAATAATAAAATAATTTTAATACTAAGGACGAAAATGTAATTACATTTCTTTACATTTTCCTTCAGTATTTGGAGCGATTTTAATCCCAAATTTTTCTTCCCCTCCCCTTTTAAAACTTGAACCAAACAAGTGAATTATAAATTAAAAAATACTACATGTACATAATAAATGTACATAATGTGTACATAATACTTACATAGAGTGGAGTAGCATTATCCAAATAAATTTTCCTCTTCCCTCCTCTCCCCTCACTTCCAAATCCCTCCAACCAAACACTTTAGGAAAATAAAAGAAGAAGAAAAACAAGGAATAGAAACGAAATTCCCAAATTCATATCCCAATTGATATTTCAAAATTTCTCGTGCTGGGTTTATCCTTGTCTCCCTCAGACCACTCCTACTTATCCGAGCTTCCTCTTCATTCTTCAGCCATACCCAAATTGCCATCCAAATTGCTTCATTTATAATTTCTACGGAAAGGAAGGAAAAAAAAAAAAAGTGGACCAATAAACAAAAATGTCGGTTATGGTGTCAACATTCTTCGTATCTTCAAGCGCCGAGAGTTTCAACACCAAGCTACCATTGAACTACAATACTGATGCAAATCTTATATCAAGATTTCAGCTTTGCACTGGTAAGTGTTACTTTCCGATAACGCTTCTTTCATTTCTTCCTCTTTGGCTCGACAATAATAAAGCCCACCGGTAAAAATAATACTTCTGTCCAGGATTAAATATCGGGAGAAAGAAGGATAGGCACATCAATAAATCTTTACACTCAGTTCGAAGTAGTGAAGCAATTATTCAGAAAACTGAGAAAAAACATGGAAAATCCTCCAGAAAAGGCAACAAGGGTTTAATTTTGAGCGAAGGGAGGGATGCGGATGAAAATTACGGGCTTATATGTCCTGGTTGTGGAGTGTTCATGCAGGATGCAGACCCGAATCATCCAGGTTATTTCCAAAAAAGAAAAGTCGAAAAATCAATGGAGGCTACGGAGGATTTGTTGGATGACGATTTTGATGTAGACGAAGATGAACTTGAGGATTTTGAGGATGACATTGAGGGAAATTTGGAAAATATCGATAAAGACGTGGTCAACTGGGATGCTGAAGACTGGGAATCGGATTTTGAGGACGAGGAAGACAAGTACTCGAGAGAGGTGGATGGATTCGTCCCTGCTGGGCTTGGATATGGAAACATCACAGAGGAAACCCTAGAGAGGAGCAAAAAGAAGAAGGTCTCGAAGGCCGAGAGGAAAAAGATGGCGAGGGAGGCTCAGAGAGAGAAGGAAGAGGTCACGGTTTGCGCCAGGTGTCACTCTTTGAGAAATTACGGGCAGGTCAAGAATCCCACTGCCGAAAATCTGATACCCGATTTTGATTTTGACCGGCTGATAAGCACGAGACTAATGAAGCCCACTGGGACAGCCGACTCTACTGTGGTGGTTATGGTTGTCGACTGTGTCGATTTTGATGGGTCATTTCCAAAACGTGCAGCCAAGTCCCTTTTCAAAGCTCTTACGGAAACTAAAGAAGGTTCGAAGCTCTGTAAAAGGCTGCCCAAGCTCGTTCTTGTTGCCACAAAGGTCGATCTTTTGACTTCGCAAATTTCGCCCGCTAGGTTAGATAGATGGGTTAGGCACCGCGCAAGGGAAAATGGGGCCCCCAAGCTTAGTGGGGTTTATATGGTTAGTTCCAAGAAGGATTTGGGTGTGAAGAACTTGCTGGCATTTGTTAAGGAATTGGCGGGTCCCAGAGGGAATGTTTGGGTCGTTGGGGCCCAGAATGCTGGGAAATCGACTTTGATCAATGCTTTTTCGAAAAAGGAAGGCGTTAAGGTGGCGAAGATTACTGAAGCTCCTATTCCAGGTACAACGCTTGGGATCTTGAGAATTGGAGGGATTTTGCCAGCTAAGGCAAAGATGTATGATACACCGGGTTTATTGCACCCGTACTTGATGTCCGTGAGATTGAATAGGGATGAACAGAAAATGGTCGAGATACGGAAAGAGCTCCAACCTCGAACTTTCAGGATAAAGGCAAGTTTTTAGTTGCTTAAGTGTTGTGTTGAAACATATAGAATATGTTGGGTTTTGAGTTTAAGAGCTAAAACATATGAGAGTTTTATGATTGTCATGTTTTTTACAAATTATTGTTATTGAAATATAACTAATCTAGTGTGGAGTAGTTTTCTATTGCATAAATGTTGGGTTTCTGTGATAGACGAGTTTGCTCTCGGATCAGTCAAGAAGTGTGAAGGGTAGGAGAGTTTTAAGTAAATGAGGTGTGATGTTCTTCGGTGAATAGGCTTCTCTACCCTTTTGCCGCAACTGAATAAATACCTTATACTTCATTTAGTTTCCGTTAGTTGGGTTTCAGGGCAAAAATGTTTTCGGGCTTTCTCCTTATCTAATGCATCTCGTAATGGATATTGATTAGCTACAAGTACTTTCACTGTTTGATACTGACTTTCTATTACAGCAAGCTTATTGTTGTCTCTATTTAGTATTTACCCTCATCATGAGGAAATTTCAATACACTAATCGAGATCCGCCTAAAAGGCTCTGCATTGTGAAGCGTAATCTTTATCTCTTGATTCCTCATCAAATGGTATCTAACTGAAGTCTCATTTTCAATCCTACTGCATTATCAAAATTTGTTTCGTGCTATTAAGTCAAACACTGGACATTCTCACGTGCAGGCTGGTCAAGCTATACATGTGGGTTGCCTAGTCAGACTGGATCTTGACCAGGCTTCAGTAGAAACTATCTATGTAACTGTTTGGGCATCCCCCAGTATTTCTCTTCATATGGGGAAGATCGAAAATGCCTATGAGATAAAGAACAATCATGCTGGGATTAGATTGCAGGTATTGATTCTGCGCCACTTGAACGATTTTGTCTTAGAATTATTTGTCCGCTTTTAACCTAGGCTTATATGGTTATATTTATGGAGACCAAACTGCAAAATATACATCATTGAATCATAGTGACACGAACGAAGGGGATAAGGACATATAGTAAAGTTGTTGCTTCACTTGTGAAGTACCAAAATTAAAATTTTCCTAAAATATGTCGATAAAATTAAGCAAATTTGCATATTAATACACCACCTTTCATGTTTTTGCAATTTAATCACCACCTTTGAAATTTTGCAAATTAATACACCATTTTTACCATTTTTGCAAATCGATACATGAATGACGGTTCCGTTAACAGAAATCTGACATGGCACTGATGTGGTTTAATGCCATTGCAGATTTTCGCTACATTTTTGTTCACAGAACCGTTATTCATGTATCGATTTGCAAAGTGGTAAAGGTGGTGTATTAATTTGCAAAATTTCGAATGTGGTGATTAAATTGCAAAAACATGAAAGGTGGTGTATTAATAAGCAATTTTGCCATAAAATTAAAATGGTAGACTCGTAGCTCCTGGAATCTGCTACTAGTTTTTCCAAACCTATCTTTTTGTTATTTATTGTCAGGAAAGATGAAATCATTTGCTGGAAATTTCTTTACTATTATTATTATAAATTTTTTTTTCAGCCGCCTATTGGTGTAGAACGAGTTTCTGAATTAGGAGAATGGGTAAAAAGGGACATTAAAGCATGTGGAACAAGCTGGGACATGAACAACATGGATGTTGCGGTGGCGGGCTTGGGCTGGTTCTCTTTAGGTCTAAAAGGTGAAGCAAGTTTAAGCCTATGGACTTATGAGGGCATACAAGTCGATTTGCGGGAGCCTTTGGTGCTCGACCGAGCACCTTTTCTTGAGCGGCCTGGCTTCTGGCTGCCAAAGGCCATATCTGATGCTATTGGGAATCAAACTAGGCTTGAAGCTCGATCGAGGAGAAAAGATGAAGAAGGAAGTACAGATTTGCTTTCTGGAGTGCATACTGGAAAACAAAGACAGTAATATATTTTGGTATTTGACTACTTGTAGAGTGGTCTTGTACAAGTTTAAGAAAGATTAAATTTTTCGTTTGTTTCTATGATCCTAGTTCATGGTCTTAAGTCTTAACGTTAAGTGTTATTTTTTTTTTTTCTAAGTAAATATTATATAAATATGTTATGCGTTTCTTGTATAAATATAACTAATGGTGACCCGCGCGTTGCATGAGATAATATGTTTGATTTGAAAACATAAATTATTAGACATTTTCTTGTAAATAAGTTTTTGGTTTGATTTGTTTGCGAGTCATCGTCACCACAAATTAATAATTGATTATTTTCAAACCATTTCGATTTTTGACACGGGAGACAACAACGTATAACTATCCATGACTAAAAATCAGCTTCTTAAGAAATAAACCAACATGTGGTGGTGATTGTCTCTGCTCTTGTTTACATACATGGCGCCATAATGGGAAAAAATTACCGCTGCTCGAACTAGCAAAGGAATTCTAATATCGGAAGGAGTTACAACCATTCTAGTAATCGACACATTCTCGCCTGTGTAATCCCCAGTGAGTATCTTACACTCAAGAACATGAGTGAAGAGTTTTATTACAACCAATCGTGTCTCATTACACAGACTCATAGAATGGTCCATGTTTGCAACAACATGACGGGAGTTCGTGCCTCATTACATAGACCCATAGAATGGTCTATGTTCGGCAACAACCTGACGGGAATCCCCATCTTCAAATACAATTGATGATTTGGAATTCCAGAACATTTGATACTATTCAAGAACTCAAGCGTGTGGAGATCAGACAAAAAATCGTTATTTGAGTGTAACTTGCACATACCATCGGAACTTAAGTATGTATAACCATCAAACAAATTCAGCGATATCATGTACCCATTTATAGACTCAACAACATCCAACGTCGTTGCTAATATATCCCTGTCCATCAAATAATTGGGATCATCGGCTATCTGCTTAAACATTGAATATGTGCTTTCAACTATTTGAGCAAACGGATTATCAGAGGGCTCAAGCGATATATCCTCAGTTATGTCTATCATTGCACAACCATTGTTGGACCCACTATAGGTCCATCTTTAAATATGATTTATCGGTACGCCAGACTGACTTTATAGTTTCATCATTGAATACATTAATAAAATTTACTATAGCCTTTAAAGTACACGACTATATCTAAAAGAATGATAAACAGTAGAAAATAAATTATATCTTAGTCATGAAAAAAAATTCTAATATGTTGACATCAAATTTGCGTTCAAATACGTGGACAATCCTCAGTTTCAAATATGGTTTATCGTTACGGCAAACTAACTTCAAAGAACCTCACACAAGTAGTATTTAAATATTTTGAAAATATTGCAATACATAAAATGTCGGGTCAAAAAATGTGGAAGAAATGTGTTAAATGATTGAGTTATGGACTCTTTTTATAGATAACGTTTCATCAATGAGTTGGCGTATGNTATGATATGAAAATCTTTCAAATTTTATTTATTTTAATTTTTACGTGATTGTATCATTTAGATCAAGTAAAAAAATCGTACAAGTTTTTCAAATGCGTATCACAATTCGATTTCTATTTCTTTAGTTAGGTATTTGGAATTAGTTAAACACGGCCATATTTTATAAAAAAATTAATAAATTTATAGATTTAATCAATAATATAACTAGTTGTATAATGTACAATAGCAAAATATTTTCGACTTATTTTTTTAGGTGGGTGTGTCCTATAGAGAGAAAAATATTTTTGGCAGATTTCTTATGTGGATGTAATGCCAATCCGATTTCTTTTTTTTTTAGGATGTATCCTATATATCAGGTAACAAATTAATGCAAGTTTTGATTTGCATATGGCATTCCGATTAATTTTTCTTTAGTGAGGTAATTATAATTAATTATACATGTCCATTTCGTGAGTATTATTTTAAATGATGTTTTTTTATCAATTATCAAATGTTTGGTTCAAATTTTTTAATTATATTCGTCCATTCCATTAATCGTATAGTTCAAGTGTTTAAATTTTAATGTAGATGTATGCGAAAGATTTCAAAACAAAAAATGGGTAGATATAAAAACAATGTTATTTTCACGCTTTCTTTATTGATACCTTATAGTTTTAGGACTCATAAAAAAGAGTTCTAAACAAAAGTCTTTGTATCAACAAATTTTAATTCACACATTTTTAGAAAATAATTTTGATATAACATCAATAAAAAAACAACAGTATTATGATTTGATTTACAAAATTATCATTATGATATGAAAATAATTTTTACCAACATATTACTAAGTCACCGTTTCTAAAAATAATTTGCATTAATAAGAAAACGAATATATTCTGATTTTATTTACATTATTAGCATAATGATATAAAATCGAATATTTGATACTTTAGAACACGAATTTAAAAATTGATATATAATAAATCTAACCCGTAAAATGTGAAACGCAATTGATTCTATATTAACAAATAAAGTGACTGATTTGAAAATTGAACAGATTTTTGAACTGTTTTTCCATAAGTGGTAAGTCAATAGGTTAGACCCAAAAAATTCAACTTTCCACAAATGATTTTTCCATCAATCTCTTTCTTTTTTTTTTCGAAACGATAGAATATTATATAACTAAAGACCGCACAAAGTGCGAAGATAAAGCAGCCAAAAGCTGAGAAGTACAATTATATATAGATATTTTACTAACCCTTAATAGTAGGTTTGGTATTGATAGGTTTCTTTCTTGAGATAATTGCACGTGTGCAACTCATTAGGCAAATATTTGCGTAAAGATGATATTCTATTTTTTCTTTTAAACAATACTAGTACGACACCCGTGTACTATACGGGTGCATGAAAAAATAATTTGAATAAAAATAGGTAAGTTTAATAATTGTAAGTATATACAAAATAAATAAATAGAAGTTTCATAAAACAAAAATAACTATACATTGGTATTTTATTTCAAAATCTCAAAAATTTCTTTGTGCACAATATTATTAGTTTTATTTCAAATTTACCAACTTAGAAAAATAAAAAAATATGATGAATGAGATAAAATTTATCAACTTGGAAAAATGAGAAAAAGGATGATACTTAAGATAAGGGTTAAAGTAATGAGAATTAAGATAAGAAACGTGTTTAATTAAGATTTCATTAATTATATTATCAATATAATTGTAATATATAATTTTAATTCATCATTATTCATTACGCCAACAAAGACACATACTAAAAAATGGTGACCGACAAACATCCCGACAACAGAATGATAAAGAAGAACAACATGAGGATGATTTTCAATCAACTGAAGAAGAAGCATACCATGATGCTTGTTCACATGTGTTGGTGAGGTGGATCCTACAGAAGATGGTGATGATGCTGGTTCAGATGATGATGTTGGTGAGCTGGATCCTATGAAGAGAGACATGATGCTTGTTCACATGATGGTGCTGGTGAAGACAAACCAATAGAAGATACACATGATAGTGTTGGCCAGAGAGATGAGACACGTAATGAAGCTAAAGCACAACATGGTGAAAGGGGTATAAAACAGTTGGCTAAGAAGAGGAGCAACTTCACCAGGAGGCAGAACAACAAGCTGAGAGGAAAGAATAACAATTTGGAGATTCAGAGGATTCAGAGTATGAACCTAAAGAAGGTAGTGGTGAGTCGGCAAAATTTCAATTTAAGTCCACTAAGTTGGCACTTTTCCGAAATTGGTCCATCATGTAGTCCATCACAAAAATAATCCACTATGTTGCCAATTTAACCAAATTACATCCATTTTTCATGACGGATTGATAACCTGCTGACTTGGACGGATTATTTGCTTACGTGGGATGTACAAATGCTTACGTCGGATTGATAACCTGCTGACTTGGACGCATTGATAACCTGCTGACTAGATCGATCGACTTATAAATCAAAAGGCACATCTCAATCCCCAATTTCTTTTCAGTTCGACATTCTAAACCCTAATTCCCTAATTCGAGAAGCAGAAGAAAAAATCAGAGCTCAAAAATTTGAGAGAGTCATGTCTTCTTGTTCGCAAGGTTCGTCATCGAACATTTTATGCCTTTGCGGCTTCCCAGCGAAGCTAAGGGCTTCAAAAACAAGCTCAAATCCTGGAAGAAAGTTCTATGGCTGTAGAGATTGGAGGCCGAATGGAGCGGGGGGATGCCCTTTTTTTTCATGGTACGACACAACTGAGATAGGGAAAATGGAAGCTGAAGGCAAAATCACGTCTGTTAAACTTGAATCTGAAATTGGGTCCCTGAAGGAAAAAATGGCAAGGTTGGAATTGCTTGAAGAAGAAACAAAAATCATGAAGCAGAAATATGAGATTGAACTGAAGAAGCTAAACCGAAGAATTTGGAGATTGGAATTGTTGGTATCTTTAACATTTGTTTATGTTTTAATTTCGTATTTTATGAAGTAGTATGAAGTAGTAATAGATTGGAACTCTATTTTGGTGAAGATGGAATTGAAGTAGGAAGGAGTGTAATTGAACTGTTTTGCTGTTGTTGTAATGATGGAATTGAATCAGAAATCATGATTTGTTGTTGATGGATATGTTGGTGTTTGCTGTTTGGAACTGCCCGAATTTGTGCTGTAATATTTGAATACCTCTTCTTATAAGACAAAGACAAATACCAGGTTCCATAAATCATCCTGCCAACATTCATTCAGTAAAACATCCTGCCAACATTCATTCAAAAGTTGTAAAGGCTGTCCATTCACATTCAAATGTAAAATTCATTCAAATCATAAGTTTCAAAAAGGTTGTCCATAGCAACAATTACAACCAAAACCAACTAAAACCAAAACCAACTAAAACCAAAACCAACAACCAAAGTCAATTACAACCAAAACCAACTAAAACCAAAACCAACAACCAAAGTTTTCAAAACTATATAACCATCACAGCACCAACCAAAACCAGCAACCAAAACCAACATACTTTTCAAAACCTTCCTACAAACATCAGTCATTGTTCTTTTCTTTTGCCTTTCCTTTGTGCATCCATAGCAGCTGCAAGAGAAGACACAGAAACATACTTAACCCCCATTTCTTTGAAAATTTCCTTCAATCTTGTATCTCTTTCTGAGAGGCAGGATTCTTGACTTGGAATAAAATGGGCACCAACAATAGGAGGTGGTGCTCTAATGTTCACACCAGAGACTGCTGATGACCCTTGCTGAAACTGAGAGTACATGGATGGTGGTTTCTTGAATTGATTCATATTAGGGGCCAAAGTGAAATGAGACTGTCCACCCTTTGGTTTCTGCTTGGATTTATCCTGCATCACAAATAAATAATACAGTAACTATATTGATTTAACAATAAAAACATAACAGAGACAAACTATATTACTATATAGTTTTACCTCTGCTGGAGCAACACTTTCTTGGGTTAGAATTGCTGGGGCAGGTTCACTCATCTCCTCCACCTGTTAAATCAAAACAAAACAAAAATTTTCAAAAGACCAACACATTTTTAATTCACAAAAAAGTCACATTATGACAGAGAATTTACATTGGCATGATTGAGACTCTGATGGGATGAAGTATGACTTGATTGGACAGTTTTAGTCCTCCTTACCTACAAAAAAAAATGTACAATGTTTAAGGTTTAATACATAGATTGCAATTGCAAGTATGAAATATAGACTCATAAAGACAGGGAATGTGTTAGTACCTGCAATTTTGTAGGCCTATTTTCTCTGCCAATTGCCACAGGTTCTGCATTTCCCTCCTTAATCAACAGACACCCTTTTTTGTTGTGCCCCTCCACATGACAAAAACTACATTTCAAACCAGTTTGTTGTCTCTTAATGGTGGCCATATTAGTGACAAATCTGGGTTTCACTCTACACCTTCTTTTCTTTTGAGGCTGAACTTCATCTGATTCAAGCCTCCTTGCCCTAGTAGGCCTGCCAGGTGTCCTACCATCATTAGGAGGCAAAGGTGGTAAAATACCTGTCTGTGGCCATTCCTTTCTCCCATTGATTGGCATAATAGCAGGCTCATACACCTTTCTGTATGTTTCAGTTCTGTAGGAAGAGTGAGTGAAGTCTGCTATGTCCCACCCTTGGTAATGAACAGCACTGACAGCATGAAGGCAAGGAATCCCACTAAGGTCCCATCTTCTACACCCACATGTATGATTTTTGAGGTCCACTTTGAACTGCTCACCATTTGCACAATCAATTTGAAAATGGAAGTCATCAGATTTCAAAGGAATGCAGTCAACTAGGTTTTCAATGTGGCTATCTATTATGTCTCTGATCTTAGGACACAATACAAAATCCCATCCTTTTGCCTTGTCTCTATTCTCTTGAAGCCTCTTCATTAAGTACCCCATAATCCACTCAAGCATAGATAAAATAGGCATCTCTCTAGCTTGAAGGATGTTACAGTTGAAGGTCTCACATCCATTGTTTAAGAGCATGTCACATTTTGGAAATACATTAAAGTGGGACCTGCTCCATTGGTGGGGAGGTTTGTCATGAAACCAATTAAATGCTTCCTGGCCCAAAGCCCTAAGAGCCTCCATCTTCCTTTTGAAGTCATTCACAGTAGTGGCTGTGGCAGCTCTCCAAACTGCATTTTTAAATGCAATCCCTCTGAACCCTGCATTCCTGAAATTACCAAGAAGGTGTCTGACACAAAATCTGTGATCTGCATTGGGCAGAACCTGCTGAAATGCTTGGATCAACCCTTTTTGTTTGTCAGAGATGAAGGTCCACTCAGACTGATTATTTATATCCAAGTCTTTCTTCAAAAGCAGGATAAACCACTCCCAGTTTTCCTTGTTTTCCTTGCTCACTACAGCATATGCAAGAGGGTAGAGTGAATTGTTAGGATCTACTCCAACAGCAGTTAACAATACTCCCTTGTTAGGACCTTTAAGGTGACAACCATCAACTCCAATAAGGGGTCTGCACCCTGCCTTGAACCCTACCTTCAATGCACCCAAACAAATATAGAATCTATCAAATAAATTCTGTTCATCAGTGCCTACAATCACAGTAGTCCCAGGATTTGTTGTCCTTATTTCCTCACAGTAATCCCATAGAAGTTTATACTGATCACTAGGGATACCCTCCCTATCTGCAAGTGCCTTCATTTTGCTCATGTATGCCTGTTGATTGGAAAAAGTAACCCTAAGCTCCCTCACTTTAGAGATTCTAAACCCCTTCACTTTCCTATCTGGATCATCCTGCCACTCAGAAGCATACTTACCAGCTAACCAAGTTGAAGTAATATTTTTCACCTTCCCTGTGCAGGCACAAGTATGCCTAGGAGTGTACTTGATAACTTGGAAAGCTTGATCATTCAAAAGCTTAACAGCATGCAACTTCCAATTGCAAGATTTATCCACACATTTAGCATGAAAATATTTACCATCATTCTTTGAGATTCTGACTGATCTTTTTGATTTTATAGCCCTAGACTGAATAGCAATCCTAAGTTCACCTCTATTGCTAAACAACATCCCTACTTTGAAAGTAGGATCATAAATTTCAGCAGAGTTGAACATAGGAAACTTAGGGTTTTCAGTATCCTCATCACAAAAAAAAAAACAAAAAAAAAATATTAAACATTGGACCTACATGTCCCCTCATCAACCTATTTACAAACAAAAATAGCAACTTCTACTTACCATATTGCGGACATGATCGATACGCATCCTTCTTAGCCCGCAACTTCAGTTTGCAACCAGAAATAGCAATTCCTCGGGCGATTCTCTCAATAGGCTTCATATTCCGTTTTGATTTCGTCATTGATTAAGCGATTGAGATGGATTATTCGAGAATTCAAATATATTCTGACATTAGGGTTAGGGTTTTTTTTAGCGAGTGAAATTTTTGAAATTGGGGTCGACGAGATGAATCATTATTTTTTATTTCTGTCTATTTATAGTCGCGTTTGGATATTTGCTAATCCATCCACGTATGAAACGCCACAATGTAATCCTCCCACGTAAGCAAATAATCCGTCCAAGTCAGCAGGTTATCAATCCGTCATGAAAAATGGATGTAATTTGGTTAAATTGGCAACATAGTGGACTATTTTTGTGATGGACTACATGATGGACCAATTTCGGAAAAGTGCCAACTTAGTGGACTTAAATTGAAATTTTGCCGTGGTGAGTCTTTAGAATTGTCTGAATAGGAATTAGAGGATCTAGAAGACCCTGGTGATGATGATGATATATTCCAACAGAGGGATTATGATCGTGCTAAGAACGTACACAATAGGGAAAGAAAATGGATGAAACAAAAAAGAAAGCTGAAAAAAAAAAAAAAACAAGAGAAGAAGTTAAAGGTATGAAAAGGTCTAAGAAGATGATTGGTACAGTGAGATTGAGGATGATGACAAGTGCTTTGAAGAGCCTAATGAATGGAATGATTACTAATATGTCAAGGTTTGAGCTGAAAGTTGGTCAGAGATTTCCATGCAGAGCAAAATTCAAGGATGTGCTTAGAGATTGGTTTGTTAGAAAGGAATATGATTTGAAGTTTTCCAAGAATGAAGCCAAGCTCATCACGACACAATCCAAAAGTGGGTGTGACTGGTCTTTGAGGGTCTAAGTTATTAGAGGTTTGTCCACATTTCAAATCACGACTTTAAAAGGCACGCACTCATGTGCTTACAAGATAGAAAATACACAGGCATACTACAAACATCTAGGGAAAATGATAGTAGATACTCTTAGGGATAATCCTGGTGAGAGTCTAGCATGTCTTAAAAATAAAATCAAGAGACATTGTGGGGGTTGAATGTTAGTCTGCACAAGGCATACATGGCCAAGGTGTGTGTTCTTTCTTTGTGGAAGGTTTACTTTGGGATACAATATGAGAGGTTATATGACTACTTCTCCACAATAGACATAACAATCCAAGTAGTTCTCTAATCCTGAAGTTGAATAATGATTTTTCACCTTCAAAGTTCATGAGGATGTATGTTTGCTTAATTGCAATGAGGCAGACATCTTTTACTGGTTGTTGGCCAATTATAGGGCTTGGTGGATGTATTCTGAAGACTCTATATGGTGGTCAACTACTTTCGGCAGTTGGTATGGATGAAAATGACAATATGCTACCAATTGCAACGACATATGTGGAAGTTGAGAAAGCAGATTCTTGGAGGTGGTTCATTCAAAAGTTATTGGGAGATATAGACCTTTATGGACTTTGGTTTTAGATACACAAATGGGGTTTCTTGAAGATGTGAGTGAAATTAAGGGGGCAAAACACAAATATTGCTTGCAGCATATACAAAACAACTTTAAGAAAAAAGTGGGAGGATCTAGAATTAAGAAAATAGATTTAGAAGGCAGCCAACACATACAAGGTGAAGAAACATCTCAGGTGCATCAGCCAAATCCATAAGCTTGTCCCTAAGAAGGATGACAATGTGAGTCCATTTGATGGCTAAAGGTTGTCCTTGAAGAACATAGGACAATGTGCTACTTCTCTCCTAATGTAGTGTGTAATGTCATTTCTGACTTGAGTGGATCAGAAGAAGAATGATGGCAAGGATTCAGGTGAAGAGAGCTAGAATAGAAAAATACTCAGAGGAAATCTGTCTGTACACAGTAAGGAAATTGAAGGGCAAAAGGAATTCAACAGAAATTGTGTCCCTACTTAGGATGGAGAAGAAAAGTATGAGGTGGTTCATAGAGTAAACAATCATAGAGTTCAACTGGGAGCAAAGAGCTGCACATGGAAATGTTCCAAATTGGTTGGGTGTTGCCATGCACTGGCATGCATCTCTTATCATAGATTTCCTTTGTCTGATTATATGTCTGAATTCTTAAAAAAGGATATGTATGTCAGTATCTATAGCCATATGATCTGCCCAGTTTCAGGGATGAATGAATATGAGAAATCTGGAATGTGCCCAATTCAGTCTCCTGATGCTATGGAAAAAAGGGGTAGACTAACAAATGAAAGAAAAGATGATGCTAATGGCATGAGGTTTATGTCAACAAATAGCAGCAGAAAGATGTTTATTAAGAGATGCACTGTGTATGGCGAAAAAAATCATAATAAGAGGAGGTGCAACGAGAGAGTTGGTACCGAATATCCTAGTGCACCTAAGAAAGTGAACTTTCAGTTTTTTCAACTTTCAGTTTTTTCAATTTTTTGTCATTCAACTCTCAGTTTTCAGTTTTTATTTTTTATT